CTGGGGACAGAGAGGTTCTTTATTATCCCCCGAGCCTGAGTCTAAGAGCAAGGCACTGTTCTCGTTCTCAGCTTGGTAGACTTTGAAAAGTCGCTTGTTAAGTTTAACAGTTTGCCTGGAGTATTTCCATCTTGTTCCCTGCCCCGGAGCAAGGTTTAGGAGAGAAAGTCAACTCGTAGTACCAATCAGGACACCCTTGAAAACTTGTGGGTTAATGGCCACTGGGTTCTGTTTACTGTCAGGGTCTTGGTAGTGTGGCGTTTGACATTTGCCCAACTGTTGCTTTATTTTCTTTGAAGAAACCCTCCTGGCAGTGCCTGGAAACGCAGTTGTTTTCTCTAGTGGTAGCCTGCTGAACAGTCTCCTTACACACGTGCAGGAAGTGTTTCTGTAGAGATTGGCGCTTTCTTTTTGAACTCTAGAAAGTGTCGTTTTCTTTTTTCTCGGTAGAGTTTTTCCTTATGTGTCTTATTAGGTATTTATCGCGAGTGGTCTAGAAGGTGCTAACTTGTTATTTTTCATTCTCAGATGAGAAGTGAAAAAATGGACTAAAACTTTAGTGTGTGTGTGTGTGTGTGTGTGTGTGTGTGTGTGTGTGTGTGTGTGTGATTTGCATTTTATTGTTTGGAACCAGAGTTAACAGCCAGTTCATTGTGGGTACTGGGAACCAAACTTCAGCAAGAGTATTTAGTGCTCTTGTCCTCCCTCTGGGCCATCTCTCCAGTTCTCAAAACTGTATTTCAGCTTAAGTTTTGTTTGCAGTGTCAGACATTGGTATTAGATGGGAGACAGACAGATGGTTGGGGTGGTTTAATGTGTCATGCTTTCCTTGGTTTGAGTATTGAACTGATGGCACTCAGGAGGCAGAGGCTGATGGATCTCTGGATTTGAGGCCAGCCAGGTCTACTTAATGAGTTCCAGGACAGCCAGAGAAACCCTGTCTCAAAAAGAAAAAAAAATATTCTTGGTATCTAGTGATCATATTTATGAAGCACACCTTAGAGAAGTGTTTGCCCTTAGTAATGGAAGATTATGATAAATGTGCAGGAAATATCAATTAATAGCAATTGATCTTTGTTTTTAACTGTAAATCACATTGAATGATTGAGATGGTGGTTTTGGTGTTGTCGTCTGATTATTCATGAAATCATGAAAGGTGGGTTCAGGATCAGCAGTACCCTGATCTTAAAGCTCCTACAAACTTAGGTGGCGTGCTAGAGACAGCATGCTGGCACTAAAACAGTCTTCTGTGGGTTTCTTTGTTAGGCACCATTGGTAGAGGTGAATTATTTAACCCTCAGAGCCACGGTTGCTTAGATTATTACCATGATAAGATGATAATTTATGTATCTTATAGGTTTTGTTTTGTTTCGTTTTTTTTTGAGACAGGGTTTCTCTGTGTAACAGAGCTAGTTGTCCTTGAATACCTCTGTAGATCAGGCTGGTCTGGAACTCACAGAGATCGGCCTGCCTCTGCCTCTGCTTCTGCCTCTGCCTCTGCCTTCTGACCACTGGGATTAAAGGCATGTACTACCACTGCCTAGTGTATCTTATGTTTTTTAGACTTTCTGAGATACCTTATTTTATATTATAAACTCAAATTCTATTAAATATAATAAATGTATAGAGAACACTGTTATGTGTTGTTTTGGAGAATCACAAATTATACAGTTAGAAAAGAAGTTACTTCAAGTCCCTAGGCAGCTGTATTGATGTGTGTATTTCAGTCTGGGTAAGGACAGATTTTTTTCCCTTCATCCTACAAAGCATTAGAATGCTCCAGAACCAATTGGGACTCAACTTTCAGCTAGTGGAAATTGTAGTTACAGATAGCATAGGTAATTAAATGTTTTTGTATTCAAAAACAAAAACATGGGCCTGGAGGATGGCTCATTGTGGTTCAAGGAGAGAACCAATGCCACAGAGTTGTCCTCTGATCTCACATGCACCTGGTGGGCACTCAGGGGTGTGTGTGTGTGTGTGTGAGGGAGGGAGAGAGAGATAGTGAGGGAGGGAGAGAGG